GTGTGAAACATTAGGACTGCAATGTTGTTTTGCGCAGCATACATCGACTGTGGAGGAACCTGAGTCGCTGAAGAAGGCTCCACATTCGTTCATTTTTTACCGAGGTAAAGTTGGTCCTTTCGTTCGCGAACTCGTCACCAACCTACGACTCGTCTTTGAACCATACACAGCTAGCAAACTCAAGGTAAGTTACACGCAGGAACGGTGCAAGAATGTTTTGGTTTGGTAAGGAAATAGCAAAATATTTTAGCCCACGAAGAAGAACGTGCTGAAGGATTTCGTGTCTGTTGCGGGCCCTTTGGGGGTTACGCACTTCATGGTGTTTTCACGCACTGAACTTGGTCTGAATATGCGCTTGATTCGCCTTCCTAGAGGACCGACGCTTACCTTCAGAGGTAAATCAGTCCGTTCCTCTCGGGAATTTTACATGCAAGATAAATACAATACACGCTGTCGAAAGTATTTTGCTACAGAAATGCTGTCAGGCGAAAAGATCATGTAGCGTCTTAAGGTCGTGGATCGGGTTAAGCGCATCTGGTCATTTCGCTGTTGGCACTTTCATCCTTCGTTCCGGGCCAACGCTTCCGCGTTTTCTTGGATCGCTCAGACTTCTTAGTTTGCAGGCGCTTCCGGTTGTTTCACTCGATTTCACTTACCTCAGATCATTTCCTTCATAGCTTATTGTTGCTATACGAGCACGTGATGCCTGTTAAGATATCACCCTGTAAATAGTTATCAGCTGAATGGTATACCTCGGCCATGAAGCAGCCATCTATTGAACAATAACGTCGTAACAGGCAGGTGCACCTGAATTGGCCCTGAAAATCCCAATACAACGTAATCTAATTAGCTTTGCGTTGTAGAGAAGGAAATTTCAGCTTTTGTCCTTGGGACTGATGATTAATACGCTGGCATGGAATTTACTGGATTAGAATAAGCTCCCGAGTTCGGCAGCGGTGTGTGGGTTTAATATATTTACAATTGATACGTTGATGACATGCACACATTAATTCTCTTAATAGGTGAAGATCGGTTAGTGTTAATGGTTTTTTTATATAGTTATTGTAATCAGGTTATATATCTAGAGTACTTACGGTATAGAGCGGATCATGGTAAGTGGGAATCTCATATTCACTCTTTGCTTCTAATTAAATTGACTGGCCTCTGGTAATTCTTCCTGCACAATATCCATCAACAGATCTGTTTCAACAACTTCAGTTTATATCTTCATCGCCTCATCGTTGAACTATTTCGATGTTCTGGAATGACTTTCGTGGCTGTTAAGTTAGCGGATTGTTGATTACTTAGAGAAATAGTACTTTTTCTGTCCGAATGATTGAATGAGCAGCTTTTCACTTGAACCGGATTGTTCGTACCGACGGTTATACCTTTCTTAAAAAATATTTTCACCAACTGGAATTCAGCTCCGAATATTCGCTCGTCTGGTGACAGCGCCAGAGTTTTCCTGGCCATGGGATGATAAAAGACCACTGAGAAGTCAACCTATCTTGACAGTCAACCGACCGTCAGTGACACTGGCTTCATGTAGTTCTGACTGCCTTCATGAGAAGTTTTAGAGTTGAATAAATGAATGAATGAATGTGTTATACTTTTTGTCGTGGAAGATTAATGAACGGAGATCTGATAGAACCTGCAGTAGCAACTACTCATCTTGCGAGCAGGTATTTTCAAGAACACAGTCGTAAAATACCTCCGACTTGTTGTGGACCATAACCTCAGTTGAGAACCTCAGGTGATTGGACAGATAGATGGGCCATCTCGATCCTGTTCCGTCTGAAAAGATTCTGCGTTTGACCGACGGTGCTGAAAGACTTTACGAGTGTCTACATTATGCCTACAAGTCTTCTTCTGCGCCTTCCTGTGTACATCTGCAATGCACTGGGAACCTTTTGAAACTGCTAGGGTGTGTATAACTGCAGAGCCAATTAGTTTGGGATTTACTGACGAAGAGTTTCGTAAGAGCGACTGTGAATCTTGGCAGTCAGATTCTGATTGAGCTGACTCATCCTCTATACCCTTACCTCAGGAAGTATCTGTCTAATTTCCCCTGCAAAATATGAACTTCAATAGCGTGTGAGTGTCAAACCGAGACATATCGATCGTTAATTCTGCCATTCACATTTGCATGCCTCTCTGACGCTAACAGAGATAAACGTGAGTCATGGAACAAATTGTCTACAAGTAATAGTTTCCTGATTAATCGTGTCTTCATTGATTTTTTATACTTAATCCATTGTAATTATTTCTTTTTTGTGTATACTTGATTGGCAACTATTTTTGCCCTTTTGGGACACCTTAGTAAATTGACTGGAATTGAAAAGTCAACTGATATGCGTTTAAGTAGATCACCTACAGCTTCGAGACTAGTATTATATAATATCGTATAATTATATCACCCTTTCCTAATATATAGCGGATGTTCAGATCGTAATCGTAAAATCGTAAAATCTGTTGATAATTCCTGTTGAAAGGTTGATTTCCTGAGTATGCAGATGGATGGAGAGCTTTTCTTGCCTTTATGTTGCGACTTATCTGTGGCTCATGACAAAACGCACAAGTTGTTAAACGATCTTCTCGCAAACTACAAGTCTTCATAACTTGAGTAGGAATGGGTTTTCTGAATGTATTATTTCAGTTGAGTTTGTAACAGATATTTGAATTATGTCATTCCACCTTCAAGGGAATGAAGATATGAATGTACAATTTTGGGCAGCTTTGCCATGCTGGTTTCGTAGATTTGTGGCAGTTAAGTAAAGCAGCAAGAGTCTTTTCCATTTCTTGATGTCATCTGTCAGATAGGGTCAAATTTTTCCTCGTCAAGAATCGGTAATCTTTGTTCAGAAGATAGATGATACGATAAACAGAATTCTTTTTGGAACTGGTGGAGTACTATAAATTACTGTACCCCATCCTTCCGTTTCGGTTTGTAGAAAGCGTGCACTTCTCCTTTACAGAACCGCGTATATCCTAGGCAATGATAATAGTTAAAACTGTTAGTAATGTCGTGTTATTGATGGTTTCATGTTAACTCGTGTTTGTTTGCTTGTTAATTCAGCGTTAAACGTCTCCGCATTTAAGCACCATCAGCATTTTTATCCTCTGCTGGATCTTGCACTTTATAAGAGATCCGTTTTCTGTCATTTTTATCCGTCTTGATCGGGCGAACTTCTTCAGTCCATCCAGCCATCGATCTGGAGAGCTTTCTACAGTCCGTTTTACTGTCTCTTGAAACTCATTCTAATGTCTTTTTGGTCTAGCGATGGTTGGTTCTTCTTACAGCGTGTCCTACCCACTGTTCCTTTAACTGTTTCACTATGACAGTGACATCGCAAAAGACTGTTGTTTGTGATCTTCCCCATTCATCCATCTTCCGATCTTTCTCATTATTCCCAGCATGTGTTTCTGTCCTGCATTCGGCAGTCTTCAGTTTATGAAAGGCCATCGTTCTTAGAGGCCATGTTTCGCAGCAATAGGTTATCACTGGAAGCGTAACTACTGAGCGAAATCTTGCCATTTTAAATTTCCGAATTTAATGAACACTTGTAATTAGTGAGTGTGTATTTTTTCAGGTTTTAAGCTGAGTGATCTAAATGTTTGACATTATCTGAAAACTTCTGTTTAGCGTAAGAAAATACTCTAAGATTCATCAAACCAGAGTTTTACTGTAATTTTTCTCATAATTATATTGCGTTAGGATATGACACATATCTCATTGGCACAATGTTGAGAGACAAATACGTAAACAAGTAACTGATTGCCTATGTGAAACGTTGTACAGGTCAAATGCATCA